TTGCTGCATTGTTTCGGGCTGAGCTGCCGGAGTTGTTTGGGTTGATCAAGACCGCCATGGTGGAATATTTTGATGAGCGCTATGCGGCTCTCACGGAGACGGCTGCCGCAGCGGCTACCGCAGCAGTAGCAGCGGCAGGGGGAGGAGCCAGTAGAGGTTTTCAGTATCGGGACTTCGATAATACGAAGCCTCCCACGTTTGATGGAGTTCAGGATCCGATCGTTGCTATGAGATGGTTATCAGATGTGGAGGGATGTTTATTCACGTGTTCATGCCCTGCTGATCATAGGGTGAGGTGTGCTTTGAACCTGTTGAGGCTCGGAGCAAAGGATTGGTGGAGATTAACCACGGGGTCGTACTCGGATGCGCAGAGAGCTGCGATTTCATGGGATCGGTTCAGAGAGATGTTCAGCACTCGTTATGTTACGCAGGTCGAGAGGGAGAGGTTGGCTCAAGAGTTCTTGGAGCTGAAACAGGATTTGGAATCGGTGACGGAAATTACCAGGATGTTTACTGAGAGGGCGATGTTTTGCCCTGAGTTCGCTTCGGAGCAGGCTCAGATGTCCCGGTATCTGAGTATGCTAAAGAGGGACATCAGACAGTTTGTCCCGGTACCTGGCACGTACGCCCAGCGTACATTGGCCTTGACCAAAATGGGGAGTTAACCCAGTACGCGCAGCATACCAGGGTGTACGCTTAGCGTAATAGCCAACTTTATCGGGACTTCATTTGTGACTTAATCCATTAAGTATTTACGTCCAAAATGTAGATCCAGGTCCTTTAAGACCTCCTAATCCATAAAGTCACAAACTTTATGTGCTTGCATGCATGATTGGGGTCAAAACATGATGTTGGTCTTTTTAACAAGCTTTATGACCATCAAACAGTTGCATGGTTGTGGCTTAACCATCAAGGTCTGATTTTTATGACTTATAGTGCCTCTAAGAGCCCAAAAGGATAGATATTATGGTCTGAAATCATAAAGATGCAAGAAGCCTTAACAATGGAGTCCAAAAGTGACCTTAAACACCCCCACAAACAAATCTAAGCACACAATGGCCAAGTATAGAACTTGATACCTCAAAAGAGTTAGAAATGATGCCAATCTCCTGGATCTACAAGCTCTTGGTGGATCCTTGCTTTTTCTTCAAGCTCATTTCTTTTCTAATGCACCAAAACTACACCAAGGTACTCTCAATTGGCTTCCAAATCACAAAGACACATAAATAGGGGTTAGGGTTTTCGTGGTGGCTGTATAAAGATGAGAGGGAGGATGGACCAAAGGCATAAGATCCTTTATATAGGGATCAAACCCTAAAAGTTAGGGCTTTAGAACCTACGCATGTGCGCGTACGCGTATGGCCTCCCCGCCCCAATCTCTTGAGTACGTTGCGTGTACCAGGCATGGTACGCCCTGCGTACTGCCTTTCTTAGCCCAAAACATAAAACCAAACAATCCTGGCCCAAACCAACAACCCATTAATCAATAAATCAAATAATATTAATACATGTAAATCCCGGATGTTATATATGTGGTTCAAAATAAACTAATACACACACGTTTGCACAATAGGTTGCATTTCTTGTACCTTTTATCATGTTTTTGTATATTATTTTGCATATTTTATCATGTGCACATTAGGTTGCATATCTTGCACCTTTTTATCATGTTTTTGTATATCATTTTTTATCATTTTGTCCTGTACACATTAGGTTGCCTTTTTTTTTTTTGGGGGGGGGGGGGGGGGGCGAGGGGAATGACTATTGAGGGTAATTAACTTTTGCGTTTGTACTCATTTGGTCCCTTTCCTTTTTTTGTATTCAATATACCATCGAACTTGTTGTTTGTGTTCACCATAACCCTTTTGACCGGATTTTGACCTGTGATAGTCGGTCAAAGGGTTATGGTGAACACAAACAACAAGTTCGATGGTATATTGAGTACAGAAAAAAGGAAAGGGACCAAATAAGAACAAACTCAACAGTTGGTTATCCTCCTGAGTCATTTTCCCTTTACTCATTTACAACAAGTCTCACATCATCTCCTACTGATATTAATAACTTTATGATATTCATTCTTGCTTCTCTTCAAAACATAACCCATGAAATGACACTATTTATACATGTACATCTTTGTAATGCACTTGAATATTTATTAGGGGAATCTTGACTTAGCAGGCGTATTTCATGACTACATTTACAATTCCAATCGAATGATTTATAGTATCATGAATTCTAGACAATTCTACATACGAGTGGAATCACAAGTGCTGTGATTTTTGAGTTTACTTAGTTTTAAGATGAATTCATGGGATGAGATACAACATCAATATGTACAATATCATGCTGCTTTTGCAGACATATCACCATAATATACCTTGAGGTAAACGTTTATGCTGATAAATATACCTCTCATACACAACCATATCCTTTTGAAGAGATGTGTTGACAGCTAACCACAGTAAGCATAGCATAGACCATGTTTTAACGAAGTTACCCCTCTGAAACGCTCTTCATATACGTTATAGCTAAAGAAGGTTGTAGTCTTTGATAATTTTGCAACTTTAATTTCATTAAACTTTTTAGGGAAAATGACTCAGGAGGGTAACCAACTATTAAGTTTGTTCTCATTTGATCACTTTCCTTTTTTTTTTGTACTCAATATACTACTTGTTGTTTATGTTCACCATAACCCTTTGACCGGCTATCACAGGTCAACAGGGTTATGTTGAACACAAATAACTAGTTCAATGGTATATTGAATAGAAAAAAAGGAAAGGGACCAAATGAGTACAAACGTAAAAGTTAATTACTCTCAAGAGTTATTTTTACATTTTCTCATGTTTTTGTATATCATTTTGCATATTGCTTTATACATTTTCACTTCATAATCTTGCATTGCATTACACCTTGGGATTATACTTTAAATTTGGTTACGAGTTACTTTTGTGTGAAAATTTTTTAATTATTGACGCGTGATGCAAGAAACGGAGCTTAGAATGAAGAAAAAAATTTAAGAAAATAACAAAGAAAATGTTCGAAATTTAAGTTTTTGAAGGAAAAATGTGGATAAAACAAGGAAAATAATTTGACACAGCCATGTCCTTTTGACATAGCCATATCACTTGAAGAAATCATAATAAAACATCATAATTTGGAATAACACGCACCATGTCACCTTTTGATGTTTACATGAAATGGTCAGGTACCATGTAACTTTTTAGGCATAGCATGACAAGGTTATACCCGTTTGTTTTTTTTTTTTCCCAAACATGGATTATTAGTTTTTTAAGTGCTATTTTCAGAAAAATTAAGTTGGTGGAAGTGGTGTTACACTTGTCATGCTCTATGTAGGCACCACTTAGATTTGTCACACCCCTTTAAAATTTTATCATTTACATGGTACAAGTTGCCATATTTGCCATGATATTTTTTTAATTAATTAATTTAAAAAAAAATTAAAACATACTACTTTTTTAAGACTAAAATTTCATTAACTTAAAAAAAGCACACACTGACACTTAAAAAACAAAACACATTTAAAATTAAAATATTACACACTTAAACTTAAAAAACATAACACACTTGAAATTAAACTAATACATACTTAAATTTAAAAAATGTAACACATTAGGAAAAAAAACTTAAATTAAAAAGCAACAAGTTTAAATTTGAGCAAATTTTGGGGATTGACTCATAATTTGTCAAAACTCAACAAACGGAAAATCTTTGTTAGTTTCAACACGGTAAGCTTTAAGAGCATTCTCTAGCAAAATATTTTCATTTTTACTATTTTCAGCTTCATGCATCGCCCTATGAGACAAAATGTTAAATTGAGTTGTAAGTGTGTTTGTGTGCCTCCATTTGGAGTAGATTTCTTCTTTACCTCGAGGAATTAGAGCTTCGCGGTTGTATTTTTCGGTGACTCTCCTCCAAAAGGCTATCATAGGGAGGTTAATGTGGATTGGGTCTTCCGTAACATCAACTCATGAACGAGCTAACAACATCTCTTCTTTAGGGGACCCAACACGAACAACACGAGCCATTAGCGATGAGGTTTTGAAGAAGATGAAAATTAGGGATGTCAACGGGGGCAAACGGAACGAGGATTGCATCCCTACCCACTCCCGAATTTTCCAGCCTCCCCACCCCCATTGTGTTTCCTCGTCCCCGATTGATTTTGAGATTTTTTTATTAGGCTAAAAGAAGTTGTCTTATGAGCTTAAAGAAACTATTATTTTGGGTTAAAAATAATTATTTATAACATAATTTTACATGCAAAAAACAAAAATGTTATCACATTTCAAAATGTTATAATAACAAATAATAGAACATGATTTTTTTTTTTGTTGACTCAAAATCCTTGCTAATATTTATTTTATATATATATATATATATATATATATATATATATATATATATATATATATAATATTAACGGGCCCCGACGGAGGTTCGAGATAGGACTGCCTATCCCCGTCCCCGCTCTTGAAATTTAAACGGGGGTTAACCTCACCCCCGCCTCGCCCTCGATTATTCTACAAAATATCCTCCATATGGGATCAAGACCCCACGGGTTCGGAGTCCCATAAGACTTTTTGACATCCCTAACGAAAATAAGAAATTTAAGAGAATTGAATTAAAAAAAATTGAAATAGGGTAAAGAATGAATAATGACGATGATATTTATAGTTAATAGATTGAGGGTTTAAAATTTGAAATTTTGAAGAAAAAAAAACAGTTATATTTTTTAAATTGAGTAGTTTTTTTTTAAAGAATGTATTTTTTGAAAAAAGGAATTTGAGTTAATGGGTAAAAAAAAAATCATTTTCTATCTTATCGGTAAAACATCACCGAGTTGCAGGATAAGATGCCGAAGCCACTCCAATGAGTTTCGAACCTTATTTTAAGGTGGGACAAATTTCTAGTCTAAGAAGTCTTAGTTTATCATGGTACATCTTTTTTTTTTTTTTTTTTTTTTTTCAATTTTTATCTATTATCTTTGATCGACAAAGAAGGTCATTCTTGTCTTTTGAAGACAGTTTAAAAACAATTACCAGAACAAATGTTGCAACTTAACAAAGATCACATTCAAAAAATGTACAAGAAACTCGTTTGATATTATCTTTACATGTACATATAATGTCTAAAACTTTGTAAAGTTTCTTCATCATCAACTTTTAGTTTTGTTAAAGCTCTTCTTTCTATTCTTCGAATCCATTCTTTGCTTACACCATACAACCTTCCAATTTCTTCAAGTGTCTTCCTTTGATACCCTTTAAGCCCAAATCTTAAAGCCAACACTTTCCTCTCCCTACTGTCCAAATCTTTCATCCGACTATATATTTCATTAATCATATAATTCTTCATTAAGTTTTCTTCAGGAGTCATTGTTGTCAAATCAGGTGTACATTCCTACACAAAAATGTTCATTTTTCAAATCCCATATACATTTCAAGAATTTTTTTGGGTATTTTCTATTTTTAAACATACGTACCCAAAACTTTGCATCAATACCCTGTCCAAATGGTTGATTGATGGATCCAACAACTCTAAGGCATTTGTTAGCAGATTCAATCTTAGCCAATGAAAGACCCGTGAATTTAGCAATCTCACGAGCATTTGGGCATCTTCCATCACCATTATCGAGTGCTTTTCGAGCTTTTTGTATCCGACTTATAGCCTTGCTCATTGTGAACTACAAAGACACAAAAAAAGTGTGAATTCACAACTTCAAAAAGGAAGAAAAATGATAAATGGAAGAAAAGAATGACATACAGGAATTCGTATCTCTCTAGCATGACGTGATAGCAACATTAGCAATGATTTTTTTATCCAATATTGAACATAAGTTGAGAATTTGTATCCTCTACTTCGGTCAAACCGTTCTGCACCTTGAAGAACACCAACATTTCCTGCCTAAAATTCTGTAAGCAATCTTTATTTTGACTGAATCGATAAAATGACAAAACTAAAAGTGCTTTTCTCTACTTTTCCAGTTTTCGATGCAATAAAATAAATTAATAAACAAAGAAAACCTGGATTAAATCTTTGAAGGCTATTCCTTGACCATTGTAATTCTTTGAAAGATAGATAACCAAAGATCGTGTACTTCTCAAAAGCTCATCCCTACAACACCAACCGAATTGCAAGTTTTCAAGCAACTCTTTCTTATCAACTCCTGCAGCTTCTGCCCAACTACTAAAACTAACCATGGGCCCCACTTCTTCTAAAATCATTCTAATCCTCTCCAATTCAGCAACCATCTGTATATTCATTAAACTAAATGAGAAACAATACGGATCAAGTTAAAGGGTCTGGTTGATAACCTCTGAATGGAATCATTCAGAGGTCACCTTTGAGTCATTCAGCATTCTGAATGGAATCAAAGGCCTCTTAATGGTTAAGGAACCCTACCTTTCTTAACCATTAAGAGGTTGGAAATTGGAATCAATCAACGATAAATGATTCTATTTTATCAAACAGACTCTTAACAAATAGGTTTGGGACTAACAAAATGTGACATTGAAAAGTAATCTATTGGAGTTTGAAAAGTCAAACCTTAACACCTTGTGATAGCTCTGCTTCGTTTCTAGTGAATTTGAGTTTTCCAATTTTAGAATTTGATGATCTTTTTGAAGAAAAGTTGACACGTCTTGAATTTTTACGGGTGATGGGATGTGAGTGAAATTCCACCATGCAGAAATCATTGGCTTTTGTTGATGTTCGTTCTCTTTGTGACTTTCTTTTTATCTTTCTTGTAGATGGGACAATGGGCTTGACAGTTTTTTCGGTTATAGAGTTAGTTGGAAATGGGTGTTTGGGTATTTGAGAGAAAGAAGTATGCAAAAACTTTAAAGCTCCAAGCTTTTCTAATTGAAACAATATGTCTTGTTCTAGTGTTACCACATCTGAATCAGCAAATGTATCCTCCAATGCAACAAGATTTTCCAAGAGTAATCTATATTGTGATATCTTGTTTGCTTGTAAGCTTGTAAGGAATGTTAATTTATCCTCTCGTAACAAATTTTCAACATTCTGAAAGATCAAATGATAGAGTTAAAAAAATCAAGAAATAAGCATAGATTATAAAGAAAGGTTTTAAATTTTGACATTTGAGGTGTCAAACACACTAAATTCAACTTCAATAATCTACATGAAATTGTTATAACGCGACAAGTTCTTTGATAATTAGCATCAAGCTTCATGGTTACTACATATAGGAAGATATTGGTGTTGATTAATTTCTATGTAAGTATCGATATTGACATTAACAACTAGTATGTTTGACCTCAGGGTCAACATTCGTGCGATAAAATGTAAAAAGGAAACATTTACATTGCGGGTTTCGGAGTAATCAATGTCCAAGATTCGGGAAGTAGATGAACATGTTCTTCCACTAATAGGATCACTGTAAGAAGTCTCGCTTTCCATTGATAGAGATGCCCTCGCTAAATCATAATGGATGTCTTTGCTTTTAACTGTCGAAACAAATTCAAAGGTTGCAAAAGAAAGTAAGTACCAATCGAAATAGAAACTGGAGTGTTAATTACCAAATTATATGAAAGCAAAGAAGTAAAGAACTAAAGATACATCTTCAAGATTAAACAGCACTAATTCAGTCATGAATTGAAAGAGTAACCATTCAAATAATGGGCAAAAAACATCTCCTTTCTAGGGCACAACAGCTAATGACGAATTCAAGATCGTTGTGTTTCAAATCGGAACGATGAAAAGCTACTGCGATCGAAGATTATGATGTGCGAAAAGGAGGAAACATTGAGGTGATGGATGCTTACAGGATGCATATGTGGATGACAAAGATGGCGAGTTGGAAGAGAGACGAGGTTGAACAGAAAGAACCCATTTCAAGTTGATCCTGAAACCCACACCCATGGTGAAAGATACATCAAAAGAAGAAGAATCGAAAGATGGAATTGATAAACGAAGTTGGTTTTGTTTGATTTTTTCAAGGCGTCAGCTCTTGGCCACTGGTTCCCCATCTCAATGTCATACATTAAAAAAGGCTTCCAAAGATTTTCTGACTGGCTGACTGCCGCTTGATAAAATATCTTGGTTAACGAGGAAAAGGATGATTGTGCATTGTGGCATTAGTGGTTGTACGTTTATTTTTAATTTCGCTATACAATTACCGACTTTTGGTTGGACCCGAAAAAACAAACGCAACATCAACAACCTGTTATTGAAAAATGACCCAAAAAAAATGTAAAATAGTTTTGTTTTGTAATTGTTTAGTCTTTTATTTATAAAATAAGCCTTTATATTTGATTTTTTATAATCATGAAACCTAGAGGTGAGCATTTGGACAGGACCTGACCGGACCGACTCTACTTGAACCGGACCGGTTTCGGAGAATATTGTGGAACGTGGACTGAACTGGATGAGACTTACCAGGTCTAGGTTTATGTCCGGGTCCAAGTCCGGGTTTTTCGGTTATTGGATCCGTTTGGACCGGTACAACTTTATATACATACGGTACAACCTGTTAAAACGCGTTTTTGAGTTTGATACAACTCGTTAAAACGAATATGTTGTTGAATTTGATACGCTACAACTCGTTAAAGTAAAAACTTTTTTGGGTTTGATGTGGTGCATCTCGTAAAAATGAATACGTTTTCGTTTATTGTATCATTTGGACCGGTCAAACTTTGATTATTTATATTTTATACCATTTGTTTGAAGGATTGTAACCTATTGAATATAACACCAAAACAACAAAATTATAGTTTAAAATCAATTAGAAAATCAAAATTACACACTGAAAAAAACTGCATGTCAGTCCGATTTAAAACAAATAAAATATGTTTGTTTAATGAATTTCACAGAATACAAAAGTTTAATTTTTTTGCTGAAATGCTGAAATATTTCAGCTTTGATATCTCATATTTGAAGCATTGTAACTCGTCGAATATAATATCAACAACAACGAAATTATAATCTAAAATTATCTACGAACTTTAAATTACATGTTAGAAAAAACTGTATGTTAATCCGAATGAGATATGTTTGTTTAAAAAATTTCACAAAATACAAAAGTTAAATTTTTTTTGTTGAAAAGCTAAAATATTTCACATTTGATACCTCATCTTTGAATGATTGTAACTCATCAAATATAACACCAAAACAATAAAATTGTAGTCTAACATCATCTACAAATTCTAAATTACATGTTGGAAAAAATCACATGTCAATCCGACTTGAATGAGATATGGTTGTTTAAAAATTTTTACAAAATACAATTTTTTTTCAAAAATAAGTCAGTCCAAAACCGGTTTTTACCTGGAACCGACTGGACCGGACTAGTTTTGCTGAAATCCTAGAATCGAGAACCAACACGGGGGTCCAAAATAACGGTCCGGTCCGGTCCGATTAATCGGTCCAAATGCTCACCCCTAATGAAATCTTTTTGATCGGTTATACCCAGATTATCGCTCAGATATGATTTTCCCTTTATATTGGTGAAATAAATTACACATGTGGCGTCCATATGGAAGATTACGTAGATAGGGACATATTACACCCATATTAATTAAGATAATAATGCGTAATTAGGGTTCGTGCCTCCATTACGTCACTCCACTTCCAACATTCATCTCAAGCTTCTTGAATCACAATCGCAATAAACCATATGATAGAATATGCAAATCCAATCTTGGATGTACATTATAATGGCACGTTTTCACTTACCCTATTGGTGTATTTTGATGCAACCAGAGCATCCATACAATACATGGGTGTATACGAGTTCCTTCCCCGATTTCATCTATTTTCTTGAAAAATTATTAACGACAAGTGCAAAGATATGTATTAATTATTGTCTACATGAAGCAAGTTTGGCTGAAGGATTGCATGTCGTACAAAATGAGTGTGATTTTAATGAGTTTCTTGAAGCTGCCAATGGAAATAAGAGATTGGATTTGTATGCGGATTACTATCATGAACCTTTGTTTGATTGGATTCAGGAGGAAGAAACAAACCTTGAAGATGATGTTGTTTCTTTTGATGACGTTGACTCCATTTTAGAATATGGTGATAAAGGTGAACATGAAGACGATGATGAAGTTATATCTCTAAAAAGAAACTTCAATGATCACTTCTTAAACAAACTTTATCCGGTAGAGAATGATAGTTGGTTGAAGAAGATGAGAATGTAAAAGGACCTATCTACCTAAGACATGATCATACTCAGGAATGGAACAAGATGAAGCCTCAATTAGGTATGAAATGTTATAGTAGTGTTGAACTTAAATACTCTCTTAGTTGTTATGCAGTAGCAAATGGTTATGACATTGGATATGAATAACAAGTATAGGCTAGTAGTTAGGTGTTGTAAAGGAAAAAAAAATCCAATATGCCCTTTTAGATTGTGTGTCTAACATCCCAAAATTACAATAAACTTAAACTTTTTTTAAAAAAAAAGTTATTTAATATGAAGTACAAATCATTTCACAATTTAAGCAAAACCGTTATCTTAACTAGAAACAACCTTAACAATAAATTTAACCATGTTCCAAAAACCAACGGTCGAAAGCAGCAGAATAATGTCAATCAAGTCAACACCCATAATAAAACATCAAGTCGACGAGTTGAATGCCCTGACTCGTCGAGTATGAACGAATTTGGCCGCGTGTCTTGGGTGACCAACTCGACGAGTTGGAGTTGGAGGATGAAACCCTAATTTCCAGGGTTTTGCACCATATTTAAAGGGTCATTAGCCTCCCTTACAGCCCCCTTGAGCTCAGAAACCCTAAATCGTATTTACTCTCCATATTTGTGTGTTATGAGTAAGTTATGATTTTTATAAAATCATTAATTCTTACCACCGTTGGGCTTGAAAATGAAAGTCAAAACCGACCAAAACAACCAAAAGGGAAAGTTGCAGTACCTGTTGAGATTGTCACATAGATATAGAGAGGGTCTAGATTGGAGCACACACGAGGAAGTTATGATTTTTTTTTTTAAAAAATCATTACTTTCACGTCAAGTACGTGCCTCCGCGTGTTGCGTACCCGACACCGGATTCAGACAAATTGTGAGTGACGTGGTTGAGTAGGGAGGTGAGACGTGGGGACACGATGTTTGAGTGCACGCCGCGCATAGGAAATACACGACGCGCACCCCTAAAACTTGACTATAAATAGAAGGTTGTGTCATTTAGTTCCAACACACCTTCATTCACTTCTCTCTTTCTCTCTGGTCCGTGTGCTACCTCGTGGAGCGGTCCATGGAGTTTTGATCTCGTCTTTACCGTACATTAACGGTTTCAAACCCTAGAGTGAGTTCACGATCCCTATTTTACTGTTTTAAATGTTTTTAGGGGGAATACATGCTTATCAAATGGTTTTATAATAATATTTATTTTATAAATGTCAAATCATTTTACAATAAGTTATATACATTAGGATAGTATAACTATAGATACTATGTCTAGTTTTAAGCTATGATCTTATGTTTAAAGGTTATAATGCCCAATAATCTAGGAGTAGGTGTTACCTAGATGTTATAATGGTCAAATCCCTATAAAACCTCGATATCTAGGAGTTATGCTAGACAAGATTTAGGAAATGCACAATACTTAGTTGTTACTCTGCCAAAATATCATGTTAAAATAACCATAATTAGTCATATATATATATATATATATATATATATATATATATATATATATATAAAAGGGAAATTGAATAATTTAACAACTTTTGTTTTTTTTTTTAATTATAACATTTTTTTGGCAAAATAACCACATATTCTGGAATGGGTTGTTCCGAAACTAATTCCAGATTATTTTCGGGTGGCCCGACCCATTTCATTGGGCCCGAAATGCCTATTCTGGAGGCATTGTATATGTTATGGATTAGGATTTTGAATTTCAAAAAGCGGAATATAATTTGAGGCGACAACTTCCTTCCAGAAAGGTGCATTCTGATTCCGATGTTTCGACTCAATATGAGTGGGGTCTTTACCTGGAAAAAAGGCTTTCACTATAGAAAATTCTCAAGTAGATGTTCCCTGAAATGGTTGCTCTTTCGATTTCCGACGTTCTGACTAGATACAACGTTCCGAATCGATTCCGACATGCAACTCCCATCTCTGACACGCATCGACACCCATGTCTGACATGGAAGATGAGCACTATGACCCCATTATTGTAGGGTATGTTTTTCATTTTCTGCTGTTACTTACTGTTCCAGATGTAGTAAACCACCTCCATAATGAATTAAAAATGTTCTAGTGTTTAAATTAAAGATGACATTATTGTAGGACCAATTGAAAAGTAGTTTAGATATGTAGTTATTGTTGATTTACATCGAAATGTCGTGTTCTGGATCTTAAAATGTCATTCCGGAAGGCTCCAGAACACGAATAACCATTCCAAAACACGATGAACGCATCCAGAACATCAAGAATAGGTTCGGAATATTGGTCATTTCCATTTCAGAATAAAGTGCTAACACCGTTTTTTATTTGTGCAACACAACATGATTGCTGATGCATCAATTATACTATCGTGTAAACCTAAAATCGGTGGTGAAATCTTTGTGACATTCAGAAACAGGACCGAATGTGAGACTATATTCTGGAATACATGTTTCGGGAGGTGGTTAGACATTCCTAATGTAGAGGAGATGGTTTTTGAGATTGGGGGTTACGAGTTGTCTTTTGGGAAGAAAGAATTTTGTCTCATCACCGGCTTCCGGTTTGGTGACTATTTTCCTGCTTCTACATCCGGTACTGCCTTTCGTTCCCGTGACTTTCCTATGGTCCCGAAGAATGTCTTGGTCAAATTAGACCACGCTAAGAAGGTGTTTAGAAATTCACTTAATGAGTTATCGGGCGAGGATGCAGTCCATATATGTCTTCTATATCTATTAGATAAGGGTTTCAATGGGCGTTTGACTAAAAAGCCTGTTACAGAAGAGTAATTCGTTTTGCTATCCAACCTCGATGAATTCAATAGGTATTATATCATCTATTTTATAATTAATGATTAATTAATTACTTATCATTACTAATATTTTTTAGCAATTAAATTGTTAACTAATTTTTTATATGACAGATATCCATGGGTGAGGATAATTTAGGATCAATTGTACAAACAACTACATACTGTATTCAATAAGGCTGAGAAACTTATACATCAAGGTGAACCGAAAGAGAACAAACCTCAAAAATTGACTTACACCCTTTAGGGGTTTTTATATGCTTTTATTTTTGTTTGCTAACATCTAACTATTCTTCATTTATTTGTTTGCTAACATTCAAATATGGCTTTTTAAGACTTTTCTGGTGAGCAGTTTATTTGGTACCCGACAATAGAATGTAATCCCTGGGGCTGTTGCATGGTTACTTTATTATTAAAATATTTATTTATTTTATAATTTGTGTTTATTTATAAATTTATAATTTTGTTAACAGGATAATAGACTCGTATCGAAGTTGGAGCCAACGGAAAACGATATGCTTGTTGAAAAGTGGGTTGTTAGCTCGGCATGGATTGATTGCCCTTATTTTCACGACCCTAAAGTTCACAGGGCACCTTCCCTAACACCATCACCTAAAAACTCCCCTACCCATGAGCATTGAGAAAAGAAGGCATGGATAGATGATTCATCTCACCCACCACGACCACCACCACCGCCCGCGGACCCATCAATTGACAAGGACTAAATTATTAGTGACTTGCAGAACGAGGACAGTCAATTGAAAAATGAGGTCTGTCACTGTCGCGAACAGTTGCGGTCTCAGGAGGAGCGTGTAGCAGAGCATGAGGCTACTTTAGCCTTGGTTCTAAAACTTATCAATAAGACTCCCGGAGACAGTTTTAATTATTTCATCGTTTATGGTTGTTATGTTTTTGCATCGTTTACAATTATACATTATTGAACCATATAGGGATACTACAATGACAATGAGTTATGGGAGCATGATTATGTCTTAAGCAGCCCCCAAAAGCCGCTAAATGTCGACCTTGAACAGCCGCTGAATGTCGGCCCTAAGCAATAGTCTCCGATTATTCACCCTTCGGATGTTACATATATTCTGAGGGATGATTACAAAACACCAGTGCAAGAACCTATTAGGCATTCTAAACACCAAAAGTTATATTCATATGGTATAAGTCGCCATGGATACAAATGAAGAGGAAAGGTGTTACACGACAACAACCAACATTGTTGGACAACCTTGTAGATCCAACTGTACACATTGTGTATAAAAAACGGGATGGTTCACTGTTGTGTGCTCATAATTATCTGATTGGTTTTTCTACGCTTGAGTTTTGGACACGCTTATATGCGGACAGTCATGGAGGATGGTTGTCATGTGATGTAAGTAATATAATTATTTGATTATTACATACTAAACTTCTAATAATAATATTTGCTTTACTGTAAAAAATTAATTGGCAGCACATTATGGTGTGGATCTTATTGTTGCTAGAGCGTAGGCGGAGGATGCTCGGTGGATGGTGGTGCCGTCAACTTTCAACATCGATGCATATCACTAGAGTGACATGGCTAGCAGATCTGTTTACACAGGTTGGGCAGAGTGTGATACAATATAATTTTGTTTGTATTACATTATCTGAGTATTTATATACTAATTAATTATTTCTAACCTTTTTGTAGCTTTACATCCCAATCAACATACCACAAGCTCATTGATTTTTGGGTTCTTTGGATTTGAAGACCTTCAAAATGACTACATATGATAATCATTGGAAGGGCGCTACTATTCGGAAAATGAGGATTGCTTTATACATCTGAGAGCCCGCATCCACAAACTGCTAATGGGATTATTCAACTACTGGGGTACCGAGCCAATATATTCAATCCCACTTGCGAGCTTCAAGATGACCCTGGAAAAGGCCCCAAGCGTACCACAACATATTGCCAACAGAGGGTATTGTGGGGTGTTTTGTGTTGGTTCCTGGAGGCATTGATCATCGGAAAATCGATTTATATAAAGGGTAAAACTAGTCCATGGGATTTGGGTTATCGTAAATGACTAGCGGAAATTTTTTGGGGTACAGTGACAAAGATAATTTAAACATCGTATTTGTAATATCACCTGTTGACACATCTTTTATTTAGTTTATGTATTTATTAGTTGTTTGTTAATTTTAATTGCATTTTATATTTGAAAAAGGTATACA